AGGCGTCTTAACCTCAGGTGACGGTGACCCTTTCTGAAACCTCATGAGAAAGATTTTCCAGGTCTAGTTCCTGGCGACTCTTCGCACTGCAACATTTTTTCTTTCAAAATACACAAAATTAGGTGGGCAAGTAATTCAGAATTCCGTCCTTGTGGGTTGGACCATTTTTATTTAATTCGTGATGAACCACCTTACGTGCAAGCAACAATAACAATATTTGATCAAGTCGAAGGGGTTCTTGCAATTTTTTGTGCCGCAGTTTTTTGCTTTTTTGGATAGCCTCACAATTTTGTTTTTGAGAGTTTCTGGAGAGAAGTTTTTTAGGTTTTTTGAAATTTGTTTTGAATGTTCGAAAATAACATGCACAAACAACAACGCTGAGTGTTTTTCTAATCCAAGTCATATAACTAACTACTGCGATAATAATAAGGATTTCCCGGAAGACGGTGAGCGACTGCGCTGCGCATTGCTGGTTCAAGAAATTTCGTACTGAGGATGAGAGCATGGAAGGTGATGAGCGTGGTGGACAGCCATCAGGTGGTAATAACGAACAATGAAAGCGTTAGTCGAAGGGAAGGGACACTGCGGGAAGATTGAATGTTTTGAGCAAGATAGTTTGTGTCCACATGCAGGAGATCGGAAAGAGGATGAAGCTTGATAAGTGGGTGCCGCACGAATTGAGTCACTACCTGAAGGACTGACTTTCTGTTATCTCCTCCTTCTTTACTTTGAAAGCCAAGATATGCGAATTTCAACTTTGGAGTGTCGCAAGAACCATCTTCCTGATCGCACAGTAAACCTTATAGGTCGGTGACATTTTGATGGTAGCTCTACAGTACAGGTGTGAGCGTGGCTGCGTATTTTCGAACATGCATAGAGAGCGTTGAGTTTTTCTACTTGAGACAAGTCCAACAGTCATATTTTTTTCCTTGAAGCAAAGACGATATGGGGCGTTCTACGCTTCCTGTACGCTGCGGTGCGCCTGTGCAGGGCAGCACTCCCCATTTCATCGCCGCTGCTGAATAGAAAGCATATAATCGATTAGAATGGAGCGAATGCGTTTCACATCCTTTTGTCACATTCCATCATTTTTGCCTCATTGAAGTTATGGCTAATTTCGGAATCAGTTGGATCTATCCATTCTATAAAACGATGACTTAGTCGATTGCAGTGAAAAGAAATGAGTAATGCTGTTCTAACTCGCATTTCTCGTTGTTCTGGAGTAGTTATTGTAGTGTGCGTTCTAGAGTAGTTATTAAAGTTTGCACGCTAATTAAAGATGGTTCCCGCGATCAAGTGATCGGTGAACGCTCCATGCATATAGCATCCAAATCCACACTCGCATAAGGTGTACCACTTTTGTCATTCAAAAGAGCGAGATAAAGCGGCTACTAACGCGTGACTCTTATGAACTTTGTTCTTCTCACTCTGCAAGACAACGACTTACGCGCTGAGTTACGTGTATGCATTCTGTTGCCTGCAGTGTCGTAGGGCGATTTCCTATGCTTGTCTATGAGAATCCTCGCTTTAACTCTTTTGCGAGGTTACGAGTTCTGCCTGCCTTCCCTGGATACTCCTTTGAAAGCAATAAGTGAGCAGCAGTCCATTTTGCAAGGCAGTATACGTTTGAGCGCTGCTTAGATTCAGTGGCGTTGCGATCGATTTGGGCAAAGATTTGTCATGCACTGCATAAACTAGTCCGAATGTGTAATGTAAAAGTCATGCACAGTGTTTTGGATATCTGTTTTCTGTTCCATTGGCTTTGTTATTCTTTTTCTAGTATTGAACTGCGTTGTACTGGAAGATGCGAAGAAGCGATTTGTTAGCAGGGGTTGCACAGAGGCCGCGGGGTGTCGAGTCGCCAGCAAGTCCAGAGATCTCGTACAATGAGGCTGTCAGGGAGGGGTTTGTTCTGGCGTTCGCGAGGTTTCTTTCTGCTTCTTTCTGTCCTGGGGAGTCACTACAGACAGCTACTGGTTCATAATTGAACTTCCTCTACTCGTAATAGTTGGCCGCGGGAATTCTCTTTACGTTCTGACCGCCCAGAAAGAGCTATCAAAACAGAAGTATACCTGCTAACTGCATATTGACATTCTCCTATTTAAAGGCAAACCTCGCGACAGCATGTTGTGGATATTGGCGTTCATTTGCAAACCTCTTTCTAATAAGTGACTCTCCGGAGAAGAAACGGCGAAAAGAGTCATGGAGCACACCTCATCCTCGGGCAGCCTCACTGTACGACTTGTCCGGACCTACTCGTTCTATTCCAGCACAGCGATATCCTGCCACCTTTGGCTCACTGTTTTTTTGGCGTCACACAATGCTAGTACCACCTCATAGTGAAAGAAAAACGAATAGCCTCTGAGTTGGGTGCTACAGCATGGAAGGCGTCAGAACTTCCACCAGTGTATGCTGCAGCGCCACTAATGAATGCTGCAGCACCTTCGTTACTTACTGTGCAGCCGCAAAAAGGGGCAGTATTAGAGACTGCGTGTCAAACTGCTTGAACAAGGAAAGACCCTATGTATAGCGCGGGGACTAAAGAATTTGCGTGAAGTATCTCGTGTAGAGGCGGAGATGGTGTAGTGACAAGTGGCGCTTACCACTCGCGCGGCGCCGGGTTCGAATCCCGGGTCGACTCCCGCCCAGGCCAACCAAGCCTTCTTTCCTCCGGGGACGGTGAATTGGTACCAGATTCGTCTGGGAGGATAAAACACTGACTTGTACATCGGCTGGCCACCGCAAGTCATTGTATAGGCCACATCGCATTCAATAAGCCACTACGATTCTGAATGGAAGTAGAATGCGTGCCGCATCCCACAAAGGGATTGATCAACGGCGAAGACTTTATCCTTTTTATCCTTTATCCGTTGGGTTCGATAGCAGTTTATGGATGTTTAAAAATTCTAATGTATGAAGATACAACCAAAGCTGCAGGATGAAAAAGGATCCTATCTACTCCCATGCTCTGTCACTATCAGTACGTACATTATTGAGGCGACGTTGCGCCGCAGCGGTGTCGATGACAGCTGGCTATTGGCGCTCCGTAGGCTTAATTAGATCGTCCATATGGATACATCCAAATCCTGTGCAGAAGCGGCACTTCTCAGTCATTGACATTCCGGAGTCAAGCCTCATATTTTTCTTCGTTACCCTCACTTCCCCCACCATCGGATGTAGGTCATGGCATCAGCACGATGCGTCACTGGATGTCGAACGCATTGTTGATTCTGAAGATAGCTTAGTAACCCCTCCTCCTCCTCCCAGACAGTTTACAATAGACTGTTGGGCAGTTTTCTATAGACTATTGAGCTATTCCTACCCAAAAACTCAAAAAAATTTTTCGCTGAAACGTTGCCTATAGATGTAGTTCGATGCCCTGATCACGAATATCACATTCGTTTTGAGCGCTGGCGCCATTTGGCGCCATTATGCGCCAATTTGGCGCAACCACTTTCACCAAAGTCGGTGAAAACTTGTATATGGGGGTTAATCGACATCCTGATCACGAACATCACATTCGTTCTGGCGCCATTTGGCGTCATGGTGCCATGTTGGATTCGTAATCAAGACCTCAATAAATCCCCATATACAAGTTTTCATCGACTTTGGTGGAAAAAGTGGTGGCGCCAAATTGGCGCATAATGGCGCCAAATGGCGCCAGCGCTCAAAACGAATGTGATATTCGTGATCAGGGCATCGAATTACATCTATAGGTGACGTTTTAATGAGAAAAAATTTTGAGTTTTTGGGTTAGGAATAGTTCAACAGTGCCGGCTGTTGTTGTATTTATGATTAACTGTTGTGATTATTACTTTTAGTGTTGATGTGGTGGAGTGACTGCTAGCACGCATCACCGAATGTTAATGGTGAAATATGAGTGATGAGCTCTGTCGCCTCATAATCAAGCACTAGCAGTGCCATTCATTGGTTTTGACGTGTCTAGAGTCGTTTGATATGATACAATATTCCTGGTTTAATGATTCATTTGATTGCAGCGCAAGTTGATGGAGGTCTATTCACAAAGCCGAAGTGGATCACAATCTCCTGGACGTTCACGTCGAGGACGAAAATCACCGAAGAGGTCTCCACGCAACCGTTCACGATCACGAAGTTCTCATCACCGATCCAGTAGCGCCAACAATCTTTCGAGAAGCCGTCATCGTCGAAGTCGTGAACATGTAGGTAATGGGAGAAGGTAAATAAGTTGTTTTATGGTGTGTTCTTAATAAGCCTAACTCTTCAATGGAGATCCTCAGTTTTTATAGTTTATGAAGGTTACCTGTTCATTTTCTACAGTGATGATGGAAGTCCTGCTAGTCGTGAGTCTCGCAGTCGTTCAGTCTCTCCCTCCAAAGAAAAGGACTACGACAGCTCGTCTCCACGTCGTGATCGTTCTTCGAGGTCGCGAAGCCGTAGTGGCAGTACTGAGAGAGGAAGCAGAAGTCGTAGGTGGGTTCATTGTCAGCCTTGTTGGCTTGCTATTGAGTTGATTGGCCTACGAGGCTTTTGGGAGAAATCATGTCTTAGGACTGTGGCGAGTTCATGACTTGCGAAGTAGAGAATAGCGTTTTTGAGGGATTCTGAGAACTCGCGAAATAAAAGTATACGTATCGATCTGGGGAGCTGGGAAACAGGAGGACGTGCGAAAGGGATTGGGTACGCATTGGACCGTCTTGGATTCTCCATTAGGCTGCGTTCATACCGTGCGACGAGTCGTCAACGTCGACGTAACCGACGATTTCGACGACTAGTTCGCGAAGATTATATACGTATCGATCCGACGTAACGGACGAAACCGAAGCGACGTTCGTCGAATCGATATGTATGTAATCTTCGTGAAGTAGTCGTCGCTTTCGTCGGTTTCGTCCGTTACGTCGGATCGATAGATACAGAACGCAGCCTTAGGCATTGTTTTCAGTCTGCGACCCTGACGAATCAGAGGCTCGGCGAAATGCAATAAATATGATCGGAGAATCGTCAACCGCTCTGGCGAAACGCCAGCGCGGTTCGGTGTTTCGGCGGAAACGGTTAGATGCGTTGCGATTTCGCTGACTCCGCCCGAGAGTAAAACGCCAGAGCTTGCATTTTCGCGCAGACGAAATGCTGAACCGCCTGTCGGTACTATCAAATCCTCTTCGCCGAAACGACGGGCTCTTCGCCGAGTACTCCCCCCTACGTATCAAAATCTTTTCGCGAAAGCGTTTCTTTCGCCGATTCCGCAGGTTCGCATGTGAACAGTGCCTTACTTCGATTCCCAACTTCGATGATTTTCTGTTCCTCCAGTCGGTCGAAATCTATATATATCATTTTATCTTGAAATCGGACACTTTTTGACCCAAATGGGACACTTTCCAAACCAAATCGGACACTTTTCAAACCAAATCGGACACACCTCTTACACTGTACAGTTGACTAACTAGACCAAACTAGGTACTGTTGCAAACGCCGTCCCAACTGGTTTTCCGAAACTCGCCGCTCAATTCTGCTTGCATTCTGTTTTCTGCATCTTGACTATCTCGCACATAGACACTAGCTAAAAAGGATTGCTACACCGATACAGGTGTGCGACTTCGTCCACTTTTTAGTAAAGTTACTGCAAGTTTTGAGTTTTCATAACTATTTTCAACGTCGGATTAATTTTTTACTGTTGTATAGCTAGGGTTTCTTCTCATTGTTTCCCCTGTCGCAGCCGATAATAAATATCAGATATCAAATATCAAAGCGAGCGTGGTCAGAGGGGCGAGTCATTGCGCCAATGTATAAGTGCATCTCTATGAATTTATATGTTTCGTGAAGAATGTGTGTAAAGAACGAGGTCGAAAATAGTTATGAAAACTAAAACTTGCAACAACTTCACTATATAGTGGGCGGAGTCGCACACCTGGTGTAGTAATACTTTTTAACTAGTGTCTATGTGCGAGATAGTAAAGGTGCAAAAAAATCACGGAAAAAATTCATCAGCGGGTTTCGAAAAACCATGACCGCGCTGAAAAGTGGGCAGGGATGTTGGGGCGGGGCTTACAACAGTACCTAACGTGGTCTAGTTATCAACTGCCTTATTGTAAGGGGTGTGTCCGATTTGATTTGAAAAGTGTCCGATTTGTTTGAAAAGTGTCCGATTTGGTTTGAAAAGTGTCCGATTTGGTTTGAAAAGTGTCCGATTTAAAGTGAAAATGGTATAACATATCCGGTATTTCTCGTAGATTCTTTGATTCTTACAAAGCTTGAAGTATGACGTGGCTGGTGTTATTGCGGATAACAATAACGTTCGTATAACCATTACTACCACGAACGAGAGCATGTCCTTTGCTCAGTCCATTCTTGACAACACATAGCTTTTGCAGCCTGAAAAAGGATCACCAAGGCAAGCATTCCTTGTATTTCTTACTTTTCAGTCGATC